ATATAACTGTTGAATAACCCACCAACTTTGTACATTATGAACAACAAATGATGCACCAAGAAAAATTTCGTAGTTTCTGAGACGGCTGGGATACTGCTGAAACGTCCCGATTAAAGGAGGTAGTTGTCTTAAACGGGCCATTCTCACCCCATGAGTCTTTGATTTGAAGTTATATGCACAAACTAGCAGTGGCGCAGCATCAAGAGCTGGGTTTTTGGTGACCAGAACAGGTGCACACACTATTCGAACTAATTGGATTCTGTAGGTAATGTACACCGTAATTTTGTAACTTAAGGTTCTCCAGCTTCCCTACATAGACCTACATGTTCGTAGCCAGCTTTTCAATTTTATTTATTTTTTATTTTTAATTACAGCTTGATTCCACACTGTATTTTTGGTACAAGTATGGAATTTTCAGCATGGATATCGGTAGCCAAAATTTCGTAGGCCGACCTTAGATATCAGGTGTGCTTCGTCTGCAGAGGATCGAACCTCGGACCATGTGCATGATCGGCGAGAGTTCTAACCACTGTGCCACCGACACACCCCCTAGACGCCGATGGTAGGCAGTATAAAAAGGACTTACTGTGCATAGGGAGGCTATATCAACGCATGGTTACATGATAAAAGTCAACTCACCGTCGACCGTACCAGGGAGTTCATGAGGGCTTGATGGCATTGTTCTTATCTAAAATGCTTAGAAATGATGATGAGCAGATTATTAATATGCTTCATTTTTTCTATGGCCAAATATTTAGAGAGCCACTGGAAAACCGAGGAGTACTGAGCAGCTGTTTCGTCCTAGTTTTGGACTCTTCACCGGCACGCACCCACTGGGATTCGAAACCAGGACCTTCTGGTTACAAAGCTAGCGAGCTCGTAGACCTTGCAGCCACTGGTATGGTCAAATATTCATCAAATTTGTTCAACCACTGAACTTATACTTCATTGGTTTAGTTGAAGTTATGTACAGAGAAATAAATCTTGCCTTAATTCTAAGTTAATCAGAAATGCAATCATTTTTCACTGTCTTTAAAACACTGCACCGAGACAATGTTTGAATAAGCCGGTGATTAGTAGTATTAGTAGCAGTAGTAGTAGTGTGGCGAGAGCTGGCTGCTAGCGAAATTGGTAGACAGTAATTTCCATCAATGTTTATGTCCCCAATATCGATCGTCAGAAAAATAAAATCTCTTACCTAGCCCTTGTCTTCTGCTGCTACATTTGGTGTCGCTGCCTATCGACAAATGGAAAGCTTACGCCCCGTAGTTTTTGATGGAGACACATGGATCTTCAGGCAGTTGAGTGGCGTCCAAGATCTGTCAGTGATGAGGTTTTTACTTGGGATGCTGCTGGGAGATCGCGGGAGAAAGAAGTATATGAAAATGTGAGGCGAAATACTGACGAATGTGCGACAGGGTCGGCAAACAATTTTACAAAATGGGAAGGACCACATATGGTCACGCTGAGATGGGGTTACGCAGACACGATCGCAATGGTAAACAAAGAGAAACAGGTGAACAACATTAGCGAGTGCCGAAATTTCAGACAGCAAGACAAACCAACAAAGCCCCTAGAACCAAGAAGACCGAACCAACTTCACTCGCAAGTGTGGTGAGAGCTGACTGCTAGCCAAAACGTGGTAGACAGTAATTTACGTCAAAGTTTACGTCCCTAATATTGGTTGTGAGAACAATAAGGTCTGTTGCTTGGCCCTCGTCTTCTGTTGTTACAGTAGTAATAATAATTGGCAATAATAATAATAATTAAGTCACAATATTCAACTGTTTGATAAGTTATTCAAAGGCATTCTGATTTCAATATGGCAAAAATATTCATTCAGACATCTATAAAACACAAAATAATTGAGCAAAGAATATCCTTTTCGATAATTTCCTCTTCTGGCTCTACAATTACGTATATGTTTATAAACACAAAATATTCAAGAATAGTAGTTAATAACAATATTAGTGTTTTTTTGAATAACATCGATTTGTAAAGTATGATAAATGCAATTACAGTTCCACAAAAATACTTAAATTATAATGGTAATAAAGATATAATAGCGAATAGAATATCAACTAAAATTAGAGAAATTGCACAAAAATTCAGGATAATTCAAACCTGGATGGGCAAGGTAATGATAATGTCTGAACTAACTTCTTCTTTTGGACGCATAAATTAGGCTTGTTAATGTGGATCCCCACAGCCTCAGCAATATTTAGTAGTCGAAATCTTAAGGCGAAATTGAGATTCGTAGGTATGCGATAAACGACCCTGAAAGCATGATTGACGTCAATCTTGTGTTCTGTCTCCACAAGATGAGATAGAATAGCGCTACAAATGGATTTTGTTTGACCTTTATTACTTAACCACTATGCAGGGTATTGTTCGGAAATTCGACGAGAAACACGCCTAATTGTACGGCCTATGCAATTAACTGGCTCACTCCACAGGAGCAGTTAAATTGGTAGATACATATGGGTGAGGTGAAATTAGGCAGTTTGTCTTTTACTCCCGAACGCAGTAGAGGAGTGGTTTTAAAGATACCACGTAATTTGACAGCAGGGAATGCTCTTCGTTTTACCGCATTTCTAAGGCGCTGTGTTAGTATCTCGCTAGTGTTGTCCCCAAGGAACTGCATCTGTAAGAATTTGGCCTTTTTTGGAGCTGATTTGCATAAAATTTGATATAATATATATCGAGAAGTGATGTCGATTCACTCATTTTATACAACTTCACAAATCCTATTCAGTAGTAATCTACTACATTGTAATACTATCATTCTCTCCAATAGAAACATAGAATAATTTCATATATATTCATAACCTTAATCTGTTTCCATTTTTCTCATTCTTGAGAGAGAGAGAGGAGAAAGAAACTTAATCGTTAGACATTAATAGCTTGTTTCACGCTATCTATATATATATTCGTTGAGCGAGTTAATTTAATTTCTTTAAGCTGAAAGAGAATAAGAGGGTGTAGGTTCCCCAATAGAAATATTTATGCAATCCTCTCGAAATCGATACGATTTTCGAGTAAAAATACTTAAAGAGAAGATGCATGACATACTTGTGAAATTACAAAAGGGAAATTTGAGAAATCTGAATTAAGTCGAAGGCTTCAGTTGTATGGAGAGGGTCGTTTCAATTACAGGAATTATTGATAAGGATGCTTAAGCCAGCATAGATCTTAAAAGCGAAGTATTATTATTATTAATTCCTTTGGTGCCTAGACAAACATAGGGCTTCAATCTGGCGTCTCAATTGCGTTCGGTTCTGTGCTAGAGTTTTCACCTGGCTCCAAGTCTGCCCACATGCTTTCATCTTCTCTTCACATGACCTCCTCTACTCCATGACACCGTCGCACTGACGACCAACTCGCCGCTTCCCTTTCGGCCTGGTTCCACTCGAGGGCTTGTTTAGTGATGTCACTCACTTGATTGTTTGTTTTCTCAGAGTATGGTCAATCTATCTCCATTTCTTCCTGCTTTATTTGGTTGGTTCGCCCCCACAGACCCTTGTTGCTGACCTTTTCTAGCTAGCCATCTGATCTTGAGTAGTATGCAGCGAAGACAGCTGTTGATGGAAGTCTGTAGTTTGTTTGAGGTGCTCTTTATGACGCGCCAAGTCTCTGATCCGTATAGTGAGTGGCACTGACTTCACATTGGAGTTGAAAATCTGGATCTTATTTTCATTGTCATGCTGAGTAGTGCCGTTGACTTCCGCACAAACGTCAGAGAAATGAAAGCTTGTCTTGCTTTCCTGATCCGAAGTAGGCTTTCATAAATGCTAAATCATTAGGAAGATTTGATGTACTCAGCTTGAAGGCGAATAATCAGATTTTCACCAATAATGTCAAGTCACTGCCTATATATGATTCATAAACTCGTCTCTAGTTTCACCAAAAGAATTTTAAGCATTCTTCAGACATTTATCAACAGATGTATTCCATATTGAAGATCAGATATCTCAGAACGATTATTAAGAATTAATTAAGTCTAGTAGAACTCAACCAACCAAGGATGTATTGCTGAACAAATATACCGAAGGAAATGAAGACGAGTGGGACAAACGCTAATGTGACTTTTGACTGAAATCACATGCAGTGTAAACATTCGAATGGACCCGAATATGAAGCAGAGAGTTGAGCATATGGACAATGGTGACCGAGAAGAGATCGTGTGAGTAGAAAGTGAAAGCCTATGAGCGAAGCTTGAGCCAGCTAGAGAAGAATGAAATAAAGATTTGCCGTTGAAGCCCCACTTTCCTTTTAGAACGCAAAGGAGATAGTAATATTACTAGCGGTTACAGGCTTTCATCGTGAGCTGACACTGGAAAACCACCACAGAGTACCGGACAGCTGGCTGTTTCGTCAGCCTAGTTTGGGACTCTACCTAGTACCCACCCACCACTAGGTTTCGAACCCACAACGTTCCGGTTACAAGGCTAGAGAGCCCGTAGACCATTAAGCCACTGGGACCCGATCCAATTGTCAGCCCATGAACTCCATCTTATTCCGATTCACGACACAGCATGACCACTAGCCATTGTCTTCGACGAGTGTTTGTCCTCACCCAACTATAGTGAGTCGGAGGAGGTTGGAATCCATGGCCTGGCCATTGGATCGGGTCCCAACGGCTTAATGGTCTATGAGCCCGCTAGTCTTGTAATCAGAAGGTCTTGGCTTCGAACCCTGGTGGTGAGTGCGTACGGATGAAGAGTTCCAAACTAGGCTGACGAATCAGTCAGCTGTCCAGTACTCCATGGCGGTTTTGCAATGGTTCTGTAAGCGATTTCAGCTCATGATAAAATCCTGTAACCAATCAAACTAAATCCCTACAAACCAATACTTGGATATCACTAGTTTTTTATAAATTCGGTTTGTGTTATGGAGTGAATATTTTACAGTTAGTATAAATTTTGTTATAAATACATTTTTATTTATCAATACCTGTTGGTTTAATACTTCAGCGTATTTTTATTTTCGTCTGTTTTCAGCTTCCAGCTGCAGTCAGTCATATTGCCTGGGGTTTGATTACACTAGAGGCTGGCAGTGGAATGTCATGGTTTCTGCTAAATGAAATTGGAAATTTATTAATTGTTGTCAACTCTGCTATAAATCTTTTACCTTATTACATATTCAGCCGAAAATTTCGTCGACATTTTGTACGTACCTTCTGGCCATATCGATGTATTCGAGATAATGGTCTCCACTGTATTTACATTCCAGAATGGGCCACCAGATCAATGAATCATTATGATGATGCTGAAGACTCTGAAATGGCCGGCACTAGTACACTGCATAATTATCATCCTAGAATGAATATGAGAAATTTTTCCAATTATCGTCTTAGCATTCATCGGAATAACAGTTCTAGTTATCGACCACGACCTAGTCTTCCATCGAATATTAGAACAAGTAGTTGTGAATCACAAAAGCTATTTTCGCATATCTTTAGACCTGTATTTTATAATACACGACGTAAAAAATCGAAAGCAGCAAGTCTTTCATGTGAATCAAAGCCAACGCTTCAAATGCAAATGCAAGACAGGGAAAAGGCGTAACAAAAGGTGTCCTACTTAATCAATGTCAAAATGATGAAGAGGCTAAGGATGTGGCTGAAAATCATAAAATACAAAAAAAGGATAGTTTACCGTGTGAGAATAATATCAATAACATTGACAACACAAACAACAGCAACATCAACAATAACACAAAGTCGTCTAGTTTGCATACCCTACCTTATCGTGGATCGAATTCTTCACATTCTTCAGTTAGTTTCCAAATTCGTGACAATGTTAACCAATCATCATCATTATCATCAACATCTATGCCTTTACGCTTATTACATTGTAAGAAAAAATCAATAAGTGAATTTAAATTTAGTAAAAGTAAACGTTTCCATAGTAAATCAGAGGTAGATTATTCAACAAGGAAGTTAAATAGAGATTGTAATGACGATGGTAATGATGATGATCATGAAGGCACTGCTGATGATAAAGATAACATAAATAGCAAAAACGGTGATAACGGTGATAGTGATACAGCTACACCATCCACAGAACATCTTCAAAGTCTAGAAGAAGTATCGAGTAATCCAGATTCTGTAGATATTGCATAAAATTATATAGGATTATTGATTTGGGTACTTTTTTTCATTGCACATATAAATGCACAATTGTAATGTGATAATATTCTTTCTATGAGTGCATAATAATTGATAATAATAATGGTAACAAGAATAATTATGGTTTTACATAGCTTTTCTACACGTGTTGAATACATCTTGAAGACATCAGTTTTAGAGAACTGCGGTGTTTCTATGTGTATGTGTGTGTGGGTGTGTGAGTGAGTACCTGTGTGCTTTTGTAAGTAGTCTTTCCACAGAAAAAGTCATCGAATCCAATCAAATATATCTATATATATATATACCTATGCATTTTAATGGGAATCTTCTTTGTGCATCCAGAAGTTTTTGATAATTTTGCCCTTCGATGGGTAATATATAATAATAAGTGGGGAATCTAGATGTATTTTGATGTTTTCCTCTCAGATTATACATACATAACTTAACTATATACATATTCTAATGTTTGTATTTTTCATTTTCGTCTTTTTGCACATATAATAATAGTAATAATAACAATAGTACAATAAGAATGAGAACAGTAAACATTTAAACGACAACAAAAACAACAACACGAAATAAAGAGATGAGAAAAATGCACATTGTACATTAAAAATCAAACTATTTTTTATTATTATTGCTTTCATGAATATGACTGTTGTTCTTTGTAAAAAAGCGAAACAAACAAAAGATAATTGTGATACATATCGAAGTTTTTCTGTTCTTCTTTTTGACGGCGAGGTGGGCGGGGTGGGGTGGTTGGAGGGATAGTTTCGGTTGAATTCTTCAAGAAAACATGAATATTTAAGTGTTGGTTTGGAGGGATTTGATTGGTTTCGGGATTTCACCATGAGCTGACCAGCTGGGAGTACTGGACGGCAGGTTTCGTCCGAGTTTCGGACTCTTCAGTAGTATGCACCCACCGGGATTCGAGCCCAGGACCTCCCGGTTACAAGGCGAGCTCGTATACCATTAAGCCACTGGGACCTGATTCAATGGCCAGTCCATGAATTCTAACTTCTGCCAATTCACAACATAGTGCGACCGCTACAAACCAACACTTAAATACCAATGAGATGCTCACTGGCGACTGGCCGTATTCAGGTAGGTAGTTACCTGGGTTCCAGTGGGAAGTCGTGACCAGTAGGGTGCAGCCGGTCGGGTGTGAGGACAAATACTCGCCGAAGACTTTGGCTAGTGGTCGCGCTATGTCGTGAATTGGCAGAAGTTAGAATTCATGGGCCATTGGATTGGGTCCCTGTGGATTAATCTTATACGAGCTTGGTTACATGTAACCGGAAGGTCGTGGGTTTGAACCCTGGTGGTAGGTGTGTACTGCCTATGATTCCCAAACTAGTATATGAAATAGCTGTCCAGTTGTTTTTTCAATGGTTCTCTAACTGATCTCTTACTAACATCAATTCTTGGTCAAAATCTTAAAATAGATTAAACCCCTACAAGAATGGGTTCTTGAAAACAATTCTGATGCTTCCTAGTAACTGACTGTGGGACAAAGTCGGGACCAGCGCGGTTCATTAGGTTGAGTGTGACAACAAGTACTCGGTGATGATGTCGGCTGACGGTTGCACTAAAATGGTGAATTGATAAAAGTTAGAATACATGGGCCATTGAATTCCAATGCAGTGAGTCAAGAGTCAACAAGATTGTCACCTTGTAACCTGAAGATCTTAGGTTCAATCCCTAGTGGGACAAGACAGCACTGTTCAATGCTCTGGGGTTCGCAGTGGATCTCCAATTGATTTGGATCTCAGATCAAACTAGAAGAAAAGAATCAAATTTCCTTGAGCGAACTCTTGAAGGTGAAGTAAGAAACAGTTAGAAGGCTTTCGATTTCAATAAACGATGCATTTTATTCGTCATTAAATCAGTACAGTGTCATTTATTTTAAAGAGATTTACGAATTAGACGTTCAAAAAATAGCCACCGAAGTAAAATACAAAGAGCCTAAAGGAAATTAAACATCACTAAAAAGTTTTCAATATTGTTTTATTTTCTTTGAGCCAGATGGTTAAAATTGTCTAGCATTTATTGTCTTTGTGAGAGAAACACTACAGCCTAGCAGGTGTAAGAACACGGAAAACATCCAACTGAGCTATACTCACCTTTTAATATACTAGTGGAAATCAATCAAATGTAAACTGATATCAGTGGATATAATATTTATGTGAGTAATAAAAGATAAGATTTGTAGCTCAGGTGGATGATTTGCAATTAGTAGTGTTCTCTGAGGAGCTGGTCGGTTTAGTTGCGGAGCTTTCGTCCTCCTTCTGGACAACATCCCCCTTCAGCGCAATTTTTCGCATAAATTCATATGATTTAAATTTCTTCATGAGTGACAGAAGTGCGTCTCCCAGTAACCATCTTTACATACGTGTATTGATCATTTTCTATTGACTTGGATTTTAAACTTTCCGGTCACCTGATTTACTTTTTATTAGTTGATATATTCGGTCTATGTTAACGTGTTTATTATTATTATTGTATCCTTTAGTTCCTAGAGGAACATAGGGCTTCAGCTGCGCACCTCCATTGCCTTCGGTTTTCTGACAACTTTTTCACCCTGCTCCAGGTATGTCCACATCCATCTCCATTTCTTTCTGCCTATTTGTTTCACAATCGGTTCCTGATTGGTTCGCTCCCAGAGATCCCTGTTGCTGATCTTTTCTGGCCAGCCATCTGATCTTGAGTATTGAGCGGAGACAGCTGTTAATGAAGGTTTGGAGTTTGTTTGAGATGCTCTTTATGACTCGCCAAGTCTCTGATCCGTATAGTAGCACTGACTTCACATTGGAGTTGAAAATCCGGATCTTATTTTTGATGCTGAGTGCTGTTGACCTCCACACAGACTTAAGAGTAATGAAAGCCTGTCTTGCTTTTCCGATTCTGGCTTTGATATCCTCGTCAGTTCCGCCTGTAGTTGAGACGATGCTTCCCAGGTAGGTGAAGGAGGTTGTTTCTTTCAGGTTACTCCTATTTATGCTGATTGTTGTCTGTTGTTGTTGTTGCTGTTGACTAGGAATCTTCATCATCTCTGTTTTATCTATGTTCACTTGAAGTCCTATCTTTGATGCTTCTTCTGCCAACTTGTTACTTTTCACTTGCATATCTTCCAGTTTATGGGAAATCAGACATATATCATCGGCGAAATCCAGGTCCTCCAAGTCTTTTGTGTCAGTCCATTTTATGCCTGTTCCCTCGTTGGTTGCCGTTTTCTGTCGCATTAACGCGTTTGTAAATTGCATATTCAATAAAGAAAAAAATCCCCATTTAGACATTTAGAAAACAGAAAGATTGAGTAAAGAAATATTTACTTTTCAATTAGATCCTCATCTTTGGCTCTACTCTAATACATATAGCATTTTAATTACAATACAACAGTTTACCAATCAAGTGGTGATAATTAAAATGCTGTATATATTAGAGTAGAGCCAAATATGAGGATCTAATTGAAAAGTAAATATTTCTTCGCTCAATCTTTCTGTTTTCTAATTGCATATTCGTTTGAGTACCAGGCTTCTAGGAATTCCCTGACTGTACTTTTGGTGGTGTTTCCTCTGTCTAAGATTTCGACATTATCCCAGTTATCAAACTGATGTCCATAATTGTCTAGGTGCATTGATGTGAAACAGGAATGTATATCATGTCTTTTCACGGCTGACTTGTGTTCTTGGATTCTGATTGGAGGGGACGCCCACTTCGACCACCGATATACTGTCTGTTACAGTTCATACAATTTATTTTGTAAATGGTATTAATTTTATCTCCTTTTTCTGTTGGATCTTTCGGTTTACATAATATCAAATTAGGCGATTTGACTGGCTTGTGTGCTATATCTATATCAAGCGGTTTCAGTATTCTAGCTGTTATTCCAGAGATATTTCTCATGTATGGTAGGATGAATTTTCTTTTGGTCTTTGATGATGGTTCTTTGTTGGTTTTGTGATTCGATTTTAATCACGTTTTGATAAAAGTTTGTGGATAATCATTCATTATGAAGACTATTTGTAGGTATTTTTCTTCCATTCTTTTCAACTTTGCAGTGCTACAGTGTGTTTGAACTCTTTTGAACAATGTCTGCACACAGTTTCTTTTGTGAGTGAGTAATTGGATTATTGCTAGTATAGTTGAGTATTTGATCTGTGTGTGCGTTGATTTTCTACGTATATTTGTGTTCCTAAATTTCCTGTGTTGGTTCTCCTGATAAAGACATCTAAAAATGGGATTCTATTGGCATCTAATTCTTCTTCTCTTGTTGTGAATTTGATATCTTCAAATATGTTGTTTATTAATTTAAGCTGGGTATATTCTAAATCATTTCTCTTAATTATTACAAATGTGTCATTAACGTAACGTACCTGTCCAGATTTTCGGTTTAGTTATAGGGAGAGCTAATTATTCTAATCTTTGCATGACGGCTTCAGCTATTAATCCTGATATGGGCTGTCCCATTGGTGTTCCTCCTATCTATTCATATATTTAAATGTTGAGTAATGTTCAGTCAGATTTAGAAAGAAGCTTCTTATATACTCGAAGAATAGCTGAGTATTTAAATGTGTCTTAACTTTTATTTATGGCAACATGATGATTGACAGGTTCACATTAGCTCAAGTTCGAAATTATTAACATCAAAATTTATATGATTTATTGTTTCATTCAATTCTGTGGAATATATCAGGAGGCTGCACTGAAAATAGGCATATTTCTGATATGCCTGTTGAAGTGGCACAATGCGACCGACAGCTCGTCTTTCAAGGGTTGGGTGAGTGAGTAGTTTCTTGCAAAGAGAATGTTATTCGTAGGCTGGTGTTAAAGTATGTCTTACTGAGAGACTTCGAACGGCGTCTGCTGAGAATTTTTGGTTCAGTGTCACTTTTAAATTCGAGGTTTGATATCAGTATCGTTTTGCAGGCGACTTGAACTTTTCACGTGTTTGTCTATGAATCTGGGTGGGAATCAATCCTCTGTTAATGTCTCTCGGAGATTTTGTGATTCTTCATCGATTGACTCTTCAGTGCAAATCTTCCGGACCTTCGAGGAAATAGAGTATATTAGGTTTCTTTTTCTGCTTAGAGGTACATAACTTTGAAAGTTAATAAACTGTTCGTTCCATTTTGGTTTTTATAGATGGATCTTCTCAGTGAGTTATCAGCATTCCTTCGTACTTGAACGTCGGGGAGATGAAACATTGAGTTAGACTTAACTTCCAGGGTGAAATCAATGTTTGCTTGGGCGTTATTAAAGATTTGAAGTAGGTTTATTAGATCACAATTCTCATCACAAATAATGAAGTTTTCCTTGATGTATGTCTTGTAAAGGTGGAAGTCGTCGTTAGTTGATGATAAGGAGTTGTTTTCTAAGCTAGCCATAAGGCAGTCAGTCAGGAGGGGTTCTGGGGGATAACCCATTGCTACTTCATCTACTTGTCTGTATATTTCGTTGTTGAAACTAAGGTATATGTTGAAGGTGCATCGTAGTAATAGTTCTTTTAGCTAATGGATCGGTATACCGACATCGATGCTGTTGGACTGATATTTCTGATGATCACATTTCCAAAGAATGCATAAGTACTACTAATAATCTTTTAGGTTCTGAGTGAAACCTAGGGTTTCAGAAGCAAACCTACAATACCCTCTGTGTTCAGTAGCTATTTTCAGATGGTTTCCCGATCACCCGGAAGCTTTTATTCCTTCC